TACCCAGCTCTACCCATGTTTAGGAGAATCACCTAAAGGTGACACACCGTTGTTGGTGGCTAGGTGGATAAAAAATCTTTTTAGACATATCAATGAAAAGAGGATCAAAAACTGCGTAAGAAAACGCTTGATTTAAATTTGACCGAGTTTTTCGTCTATTTGTTACGAACCCCATTCAAAGTATCCTCATTTTTACAGGTTTTTAACTTTTTACCCTGTAAGATCAATTATTAACTTGAAATTTTCACAGTTGAAGAAATGAGAAAAGTTAAGTTGTTAAATTTTTTGCTCTCCAAAACAGTATTACTTCGAAATTTTTTAAAATAATGGTATGACGCTTTATGTGGTAAGGTCAAAGTTGGGATTTGAAACAAGTGTCTTTTTCGATAACTGTGTACTGCCCTAGAGGATGTCCAGTTTGTCAGGTCAGACCATTGGTCAGATACCTGTAAGTAAAAAGGCCCTTTCTTGTTTTCCTGGTCAGGATCTGCTGTCCCCTGATCATTGGAAGAAATCAAGACCACGAGCTTGTTGTATATATGTAAAAATGAGGTGTGCTGCTCGCTAATCGCTTATACTGCGCAAAACTCAGTATAAACCCAGAAATTTTTCTGGAGACATTTCAATGTAACTATCAGACTCCGAATGTCGTTAGATATCGCTTGTTTAGCATAGAAATCTTTAAGACGTTACTCGTCACCTGTCGGAATAACTCTGAAATTTTTCGAACAATTAGTGGTCACTATATACTAGATGACTTAGCAAATAGGGAGATTTTCAAAAAACTCTCGATTTTTCAGATAAAATGCTTCTTTTCTCATTAAAAGAAGGCTTTTATCCAAACAATCTATACATATTCGGAATCAGCGTGAAAAACTACATCGAGTGATGTATCACTTATTAGTTTTACAAATAAAAAATATCGGTGATTTTCATTGATGATGAGCTGTTTTATTGTCATCTAGACAATAGTTCTTCATTCTCAATGTACATGTTTTTTATTTCCAGAATACATTGACTTAGTAGAGTGTAAAAGAATTGTCAATTAGATATAGTTTTCAGGTTGAATGGAGCTTCCGTTTAGAGGATTTTCCCAACATTTCTTTTGACATATTAGAAAAGAATAAGTATTTTGCACACTTTTGAACAACAAGAATACTTTTCTTATAGGAAATTAGCAAAAGAAGATAATTTTACAATTTCAACTTCGTTGTTTCCACAAAAACGACTTTTTTTTAACGTGATAGACGTGAGCAACTTAGTCAGACGTATACAATCCAGCATGTTTTGAATAAATCTGAGAAAATGTTGTCGTAAAATAATGCGCTTTGGGCGTAAAAATATTGATAGACGGACCCTGAAGTAATCGGATTTTGGAATATTATTGAAGATACGCTTTTGACATTTGCAGTAGCTTCGTAATTCTGCAAGATTTCTCAAATTTCTTATTCTATATTTCTCTTTTGCAAAGCGTTACATACTTTTTCCATTAACACTCTATTACTTATTATAAATAAATACCGGACGAAAACGTATGTTGTTATTGTTACAATTAATTATTTGATTATTTCACAAATCACATCTCTTTGTCGTTAGTTGTTGTGTTTTTCTTCCTTATTCTTTTGTTTGCATTAACAAATTGTTCTCTTTTTTTCTCCTTTTATGCTCATCAACATCAAAACCTACCTACCCACTATTCTCTAAATTCGATCAAGCCATCAACATACTAAGAACATCATTTTAATGGGGCATATACACAATGATTATCGTTGAACGGAAATAAATCTAGTAGTTCGATTGAGTGAATGAGAGAGAGGAAGAAAGAGAGATTAATGTTAACAAATATGTGTATGTAGTAGTGTGTGAGCAATAGTAATTGTCTATGTAACTAACCATCAGACAACAAGCAACTGCTATTAAATGGCAATAGTTAAATGTTTTATTTGCTATTAAGTTTTTAGTCGGAAGAATTGTATATACAGTATGGAACCGTAAGTGTTGAAATAGAAAAAAAAGAGTGACATGATAAAGAATAAGAAGCGCCAATGAATCTATCTATAATTGGTCTTTTGGCTCCTTCAAGATATCTCACCGTTTCAGGAACGTGACTACTAGGAGGACTCGGAATGATTTTAAAAGTTTTCTTTTTTCGCCAAAAAATGTTTTTGTTTTTTTCATTAACTCGTATATAAGAGGAAAAGGCATGTTATTCGAAGAAAGTCAGCGTTGTATATATACTAGTAGTGATAGCAAAATAATAGAGATGAATAACTTGTCGACAAAACGGTATACAGCATAGATTATGCTTGGTCACACCAGTAAACGACCTGTTTTAAGATCATTAATTGGCGTTCTCAAAATGCCCGGATTAGAGTAATGTTAATGGACGGTTTCTAGACCGTTAACACGCCTTTTTATAAGTGGCCGTTAATCACCCGCTAACGGACCGTCCCGATTGAACTGGATTGTATTGGTTCCACAGCTATTGCGCAAAAAGGTATTATTTCCAGGATTAGTCTAAAATATGCCCTATATTGTATTTATAAACGGTGATTTGAAAGGTATCATACATGTAAATATTTTACGGTTGAGATCATCTCTACTCACAGACATATTACATGTGTTTGGATTTATTATTTTATCCGTCCTCACCGATAGAAAAGATTACTTGAACTAAATGTTTTGTTTTTCGCCTGTTAAGAAAGATGCGTCGTCATCCTCCGACATTGTTTTCAGACCTTAAATCTTTCTAGATATACAAATTTATAGTTGATTTTTTCATTTTTATTCGCTACTTAATGTTGAAGCAGTAATTTTTGTTATTTTGATTACACATCAATATAGAAGAATTCTGGCAGTATTTTAGTACAGATTAAAGGTGTGATGATGCAAGTGACGACTAAGCGGAAGTACAATAAAAAGCAACAAAACAAAACTATAATCTATTTTTTTTTCAATTACTTTTGATGTCCAAAAGATTTGTTTTACTTGGTGACTAATAGATTCAACATAAAAAATACCATAAAGTATTAGAGAATATTGAAAAACTTAGCCACATAATTAATAAATTAATTTCGTTATCATTCATGTTTATTTTATTTCGTTATAATTGATCCGATTTTTCTAACAGAAATCGATTCGCAGAAGTCTGTAATATTTTAAGTGTAAAAAATGCTTTTGATTATAGCAAAACTCTCATTTTAGTTGATTCATATCAATTGGTAGCAAAAACATTATATTTCACAGCATCCATTTTCACATTGTCGTATAATTCCTTGTTTATAAACGCAGTGTCCTTGTTCTCGATAGTTTACTATTACCTACGCGCGCTCTTTTCTTTATCTCTCTATTGTTGTTCAAACAAAGCGACACGGTTCCAAGAACAGAGAAAAGAAAAAAAGAGTACTTTTTAAACTTGACCATTAAATACATATGGTCAATCAATCTCTTACGTGAATGACAAAAAAAAAAAGAGAAAAGTAAAAAGAACACACATACACGTTAGGAGGTTTCGTTCATTTTTCTTCTTCTACCACCTTTTTTATGTTTCTCGATAAGAAGATGATGTATAAAATACCATTTTATTATTATTACTACGACTTTTTTTTTTTTTTTGGAAGTTCAAGTTCTCGTCTTTTTCTGTTTTTTCCAATGATCAAACCAACTATAACATAACATCATCCGCTTTTTCATTTTTTTTTGTTATTCACATACAGAAGTATACAACAACTATGCATAAGCATACACACACACACACACACACACACATACAATTGACAAATTTTCTTCTTTACACATGTTTTTTTTTTATCATTCTAGAGAAAAATCAGTAAGTATTGAAAACAAATACATTTGCACATATAATTCAGTTTTTCATTTTATTTTTCTTTCTGTTCCAGAGTTCTTGTCTTCTGTTGATTTTTTTTTTGTATTAAAAGTCAGTTTTAATGTGTATGATTTTTAAAATAATAAAAATAAAAATGACACAATTATTTTCTTTTAAAAAAGAAAAAAAAAACTTGAATATCTGTACGTTGCGCATTTCAAAATACGTACATATTAATCGAAAAGAGAAAAAAAAAAAAAAATGAACATCAAAAATCAAATTAGATTTTAATTAAAGTAATATACTCATACATACAAATAAATTGGTATGTCATATAAAATTTGAATAGAGACAGTTGATATATCTCAGTTTGTAGAATAATCTTGTACTTGAAAAGAACACTTTACTGACATTTTTGATCTATCTTACTGTTTCAACTCAACTTCATGCGTAATAAACTTTCACATGCAATCTATTGTTAACAATATGACTAATAGAATGGGCTAATATAAATCTTGTCAAACTCTATTGCTAAACATCCTATGAGTTTTGATTCTCCAGAGAAAATATTCGCTTGATAAGTTATTGTTTGTACTCAATCTACTTAACCTTCCTTAACTTAGTAGGACGTATAATGATTTATAATTTGAACAATTTCATTCATTTCTGTAGTAAATTGCATGATGAATACGCTTGACTGATAAAAAGTTTTCCAATGTGTATATCAACATTGAACAGATTCATTATATCTATCTCTAAAATATATTTTTTTTTAGATCTTATGTAATACATATCGTCCATTGTAATCTATTTCACGCATTAGGTATGATTTTTAGTTCTCTTTTCTCTGTTCTAGGCACTTTTTGCATGTCTAATCCTATTGTCATTTAGTTGTGGATGTCATGCGATATCAATAAATGTGTTCAACTATAGGCTATTATTTGTGACTGATATTTTCATTCTAATACACACTAATTTCCTCAATCTTTTTCTTTTTTTCTTCTTTCTTCTCAATCATCTTTATTAATTCCACCATAATGATTTACCGTTATTACTATTATCATTCTTAGAAAAAAAACAACCAAATGTTCATTGTATACTCTTTATAATCATATTGTAAAAAAAATTTATATTGTCCTATAATAAACAAATCTAATATATATTTATATTAAAAATGGTTCAAGAAACAGCGAATAGCATTGTTGATAAAAATAGTATCGAAAATTTAGATGAAAAACGAAAAAAAGTTGGTAATTATGTTATTTTGAAAACAATTGGAGAAGGTTCATTTGCCAAAGTTAGATTGGGCATTCATCTTGTCACCGATATGAAGGTAAGAATATATTTCTTCTTTTTTTTTTTTTGTTTTTGAATATCGGATAATCTTAACACGAGTATAGAAAACTGATTATTGATTAATACAAGAATCAATTGTATATATATATATATTAAAAATATTTTCTCATCATCATTTAACTACAATTTTTATTAGTAGTAAATATTAATCTGAAATTTAAGCAAATAGTTTAAATTTAAATTGATATTGTATATGTTTAATGGTGCTTCTGATTTATTCACAGTTTTATTGATTCATAGTCGTTGTTATGTTTATAAACTTATATTCTTTTGTTATATACACGATTAATACATATAATAACTTATTTAAATTTTTGTATATCACAAAACTCTATGCATATTTTTTCTTTGACCTTTGAATAGAACAATTGATGTATGTTCAAGTGATTCAATATTAAATGAAAAATACTATATTATTGTATATTCTCTCACCTCAACTATAATTCCAATTATATTTTTCTCTCTTTGATTGTAAATAGATGAGATAAAATAAAATGAAATGTATCATATAAGATGATAAAACTAGAAAAATTTGTAATCGACTATATGACCGAATAATTTATAGTCTCAGTTAATATACATATTCATTTTTTTTTTTTAAATAGATGATCAAATATTGTTCATTTTATACTTTCGTTTCTATACTATTAAGTATATGAACAATTTATATGGATAAATTGCATATTTCTCTTATATATTTTATCTTTAAATCTACTTTATAATAACAGAAAATAAAATAAAAATATTTCATTAGTTTAATTAAAATTTATATTATCAAATTTTTTTTTGTTTTTCATAACTGACTCTTATATACAAAGATTTTAAATACCTTTTTTTTTTATTTTATTTCATCGTTTATATAATTTGTTTCACAAAAAAAATTATTTTATTGTTATTCGAAAATAAAAACAAATCATTTGTTCTCATTTAATGTCTAGTCATTTGAATATGACACTCAAATATCATAAATTATTATGTTTTAGTGAACTATAGTCTAAGAAGAAAAAGAAACAAGTATAATATTGTTTATACTGACTAATATTTATTTATTGTTTATTGAACAATGTACAAAGAAACAAATTTATCATCAATATAAAAATTTGAACAAATACTCCATTATATTTTTATAATAGCACTACATAGATGAAATGAGAGACATGATATTGACAAAATACAAGGGAAAAGAAAAATGTATTGAAATTTGAGAGGTGATATTTCTTTTTTAATACATCAAAAAAAAAAAAAAAAAAATAAGAAGAGAGTTAGAATTTATTTTTCAAAAACAAAACAAAAAAAAAACTCATACATTAAACAAGTTTTAGAATTTTGTACATTATTCATCGAATATTCGTACTTTTTAACGATTTGGATTAAAATTAGATTAAATTTTGTTATGAAATGATAATAATTGCGCAATAAATGTCAACTATTTTGCATAGTCTAACAGAAACATGATGAAAACGTTTAGACAAGACTTTCATTTGTTTTACTTGAAAGAAAATAGTCATCGACTTCATATAGACAAGACATCTTTGGTTTTACATTATTTTTTTCTGTTTTTTATAATATTTTGAGAAGTCCTACAAATCAATAGTTTTCTTTTAAATTAAACCGTTCTTCATGTATGTATACTATTTGTTCAAATATCTTTTCTATTATTACTTTATGAATAGTTTACCTTTTTGTTTGTATTTATGTACAACGTCTAAAAAGTAAATTTTAATGTTAGTTTGTCTTTTTTTTATCATGTTTTCTTCTTTTTTTTTTTTATACTGTAAAAAACCTTGAGAGAAAGAGAGAATAATAGTATTAGTTTCTTTTAAATAATACATATAATCTATAACATATTGAACATCCGCTTAACATTCATGATACTGTTGTAGAAACAAAATGTTTCTATTTAGAGAATTAAGATTTCTGTCAAATGACATACATCTATTTCATATTGCACAAATATCTATTTCTAATATAATATGAACTACATCTTTTATTTAAACATCTCGTGTTCATCACCTCAAATAGAGAAGAAAAAAAAACTCTTGAAATTTTTTGTTCGTGCTACGAAGATCTTACTTTTGTCTGATTGTTAATAGAAGTTTCAAATTGATATAACAGTTAATTAGCTTTATTAATTCTGCGTCAAAATAATATATTTAACGCCAGTTTTTTTTTCATGAAAATGAATTCTAATTAAAAAAAATGAGTTAGAAACACGAACGAATGACGTTGTTGAATAATTTAACAGTGATGATGATTTTATTCATACTTGTCATATGTAGGGCATGACTAGAATATTTATGTTGTTTTGACTATGACATTGATCTATATAAATTATTTTTAAACTTTTTTTTAGAATTTTCGTCTGTATTAATTGCAAAGCAACTAAAAAATATTATGTACTTGGGTTCATGAAAGATGAAAATTGCGCATCTATGCGACGAAGAGATTGTTGTTTGTTGAATGCTGTCTTGAAGACTATAAACACTCAAATAAAAAAGTACCTGAAGAAACTCATTCAAAAAGCATACAAAATTATGAGAATTTTACAAATATTGCTTTTCGTCATCAATATCCATACGTCCCCGGCCACAGACTTAATCGAAACTTACTAAGATCTTAGTAAGATTTTGATTACATTTGTCTAAAATCTTAGACAAATGTTACTAAGATCGTGCGATCCGAAAATTCAAAGATTTTAGAAGATTTTGCTAAGATCTTAGTAACATTATACAGTCTAAAATTTTTCCAATATTGGATAAGAATCTATCAGGATCTTAATAGTAAGAACGACAACGTTTTTTTTAATAATATTAATTTGAGATTCACTGAGAATTTTTTAATTTTTAATCCACAGTATCCAAAGCAGTTGAACAGTGTTGAAGGATGAAGGGAAATTTTATATTTTTTGATGTCCGATCATGGACCTTGACCTGGATGTACACTCTCTAAAAAGCTATTGTTGAATATCTGGGATATTTGACAGCATTCTTTGAATTCGACTCAGCCGGCGTGGGAAGGGAGGGGAGGGGCGTTGTGAGTGAGTGAAGAAACAAGATTGAGAGGTGTGGTATTCGAATCTGAAGGAAACTTCTAAGTATTTCGAAATGTCGTAAAAATTCGAGAAATTTCAAATCGACCATAACTAAGATTTCTGATATTTTAAAATTCCAGGAATTTGGAATCCTTGATTTATCAGAATTCATAATTTCTGTATGCAGTTCAGAATTCTAGCGGAATTACGAACGATAAGGACAGCAATTACAAAATTTTTTTACAAAATTCGATGCAATTTATAGAATTGTAGACGACTGTTGAATTTGTTATTGTTTGTGCGTAGAAAAGAGAATAATAGTGTATAGACTTTCTTAGAAGTTTACCCATTGTATTTGTCTTAGAATTCTAGAAAATTGTTAAGTTTTGTTGCATTGCGAGTAGAATTATATAGATTTGCTAAGAATTCTGTTGAATTCGATCCGTTACTTACAGCAATAGGCACTGAGGATGAGTGGAAAATCAACATTGAGAGATGTGTTATTCCAAAACAAATTCAGAATTCGAAGAAAATGAACACATTCATGACACTCCTCAGATGATAACACTTTATCTGAGATACTAAGACTGTTACATCACTCGTGCTCCCTTGACCCGAATTAAATTTTCTTTCTGGATTTAGTCATTCACTGTAATATACAGGCAGTCAATGGACTGTGTGAACCATCAGATGAACATTTCTTGTACAGATAAATGAGAGAAAAACAAAGGGGTGAATGAAAAGAGAGTCATTAATCCTATTAAGATCTTAAAAAGTAAGATCTTAGTAAGATAATTTTAAGAAGTATCTAAAATTTTTAGTAGAGGTTGATGTCTTCAGAATGTTTCAATTCTAGTTAAAGAAAATAATAAAAAATTGCTTCTTTTTATACTTAATTAATGTTCTCGTCTTAATCATTGCCTGATAAATCACGTTACTATAGCCCTGAATCCGACACTTCTATTGATGTTTGCCTTAAAGCTAACGTAACTAATGGTTGATAAAATTCACCAAGGCGAAAAAAATAATGCATTTGAAATGAGATTGTCTTCTATTAGTGATCTGTTCTTCTTCTGATGTGTATGAAAATCTTAATGTCATTTCTTTGCTATATTTATTAACATAGCTCTTTCGTTCGATAGAATTCACTTTGTTTGTTAAGAGAATCGATTTTAACTCCATAGGTAAACCGAGTATAGTTTTCTAGAAGATCGGATGTGTATTGAAAGTTCTATTATCAATTTTCCTCTAGTATCTCATCACCTAAGTATAAGACACTGATAGTTTCGAATCTTTAAACCTCATACTATTAATCAAGATGCGTTCCATTATCTGTAAAAAGAATAAACTAATACTGTAAAAAAGATGGTATAATGATGTTGTATACATATGTTGGTAAAAACAAACATTGTGCAGATTTGTCTTATATTAGATGATAAAGGATAAAATACCACAAAAAATTAAAAATAAAATTGTTAAAAATCGAATTAAATCTCTAATTTCTCTTCTACACATTTACAATTGATTGCAGAGTCGTGTTTTTGAAAAAAAAGTTTTGACTGATTTTGAATGAAACTAACAAATTGACAGACTTGTTTAATAAACAAATTTATTGTACATGATTAAATTGATTAAAACACATTTTATAATCCATACACATTGATTGTCCAAAGTAATTGTCGTATACTTCAACATAATTAACTCCATTGATAAAAACCGAGAAGAGTGTGACTTTTTAGTCGTTCGGATTTTCTCGATTCAGAGTTTACCGTGTAGGATAAATTAACTGTTTATTTAGAATTAAAATTATCATCAAGATTTATTGTGAGAAAATCGACGATATAACCAAAAGTACTGTTCATCGATTTGTATAAGGAATATTTCTTCTGCATATTTATCGCCATAAACTCAAACTTCAGTTTGTACCGAAATAAATTACCCAAAATACGGTCAGGGACGATAATATCAAGACTAACAGATAGTCGTACGAGTGTGTGATGTTTTGAACGTAAATTCGAAACTTGCGGAAAAATGTACAGGAAAATAAGTCAAGGTGAAGAATTTTTCTTTATCTAACTTCCGAATCAAACTTAGAGAACACTTTTAACAATTAAAGAAAACAGTCGTCAGAGCTGGAACCTGTTGAGAAACGGTGAACCGGTCCAGTTAGGCCGGTCTGAAAGTGTAACCGGACCAGTCCGGCCGGTAAACGGGTGAGTTGAATTATAACTCAAACCGATGAACAACCGGGAAAAACTTGGCAAAGTTTTTTCAACATCTATTTTCAGAAAGAATTTCGCTCAGAAATGAAATAGTTTGCGAGCACATGTAAGAGAACCTTCACAATAACGAGTCTATAGCATTTAACCCTAAAACAAGTGATGAAAATAATATCTGTCTTGAGCATTGTCTTATTTACTCCGACTGACAAGACGTGAAATTTTAGGTTTTTGACGAAAAACAGGGTAAAAAGAGCAGATGTTTCAAAAGTTTCAACCGGTGAAATATCGGTCTCTACCGGCTCGGTTAACTTTTCCGGTAGCTGTCCGGCCGGATCGATTCCAGCTCTGACAGTTGTTGCTGGATTTGTTTTTGGACTCATTGACTATCAATGCAAAAGAAACAGTTAGTTTTGTTACAGGGAATTTGTACATGTATTGAGTTTCTACTTTTATTAGAGTTATAGCTCGATAATGTTAAAAGATCTCTGTTTCATAACATGATATTTTTCTATTTATTTAGGTTGCTGTTAAAGTAATCAATAAACGTGAAGTATTTAAACGTAATTATTTACGAGCAAATTTGAGACGTGAAGCATCGATGATGCAACGTATGCAACACTCAAATATTGTTCAATTACACGAAGTAATGGAAACAGAAAATTCATATTATATTGTCATGGATCTTGTACAAGGACAAGAATTTGTTAAATATTTAACAAAAAAGTAACTAAAACATATTTTTATATGACACAAAAAATTTTATTATTTTTATTTATGTAGACGTCAATTAGATGAAAATGAAACACGACGGTATATTCGACAAATCGTATCGGCTGTTGATCATATGCATCGAGCACACGTTATACATCGAGATATTAAATTACAAAATTTTATGCTCGATCAAAATAATGATATTGTTATTATTGGTAAGAAATATTTGTATTCTCATTTTTATTTTTATATTTTTTGTATCACTTTTAATTGTAGATTTCGGCCTCAGTAATAGTCTAGATGAAAAAGGATTTTTGACTACTCAATGTGGATCACCAGCATATGCAGCACCTGAAATATTTGCTCATCAAGAATATGGACCAGCTGTTGATGTATGGAGCATGTAAGTATTTTCGAGATATTATCTTCATCATGTTATATATCTCTGATATTATTCTAGAGGTGTAAATATGTATGCAATGCTACTTGGTAAATTGCCATTTAAAGTTGAACATAGAAGTAGAAATTTAGCAAAATTACATGCATGTATACTGAAAGGATGTGAAATACCCAATACATTATCTAAAGGTAACTGATTATAGTAGATATTTGAGTATAATAAACGTCAATTTTGTCATCTTATTATAGAGTGTCAAGATTTATTAAGTCGATTATTAGAACCATCTCCAACAAAACGAATATCAATGCAAGAAATATTACGTCATCCATTTATGAATTATCAATTGGGTCCCGTTGAAATTATTCCCTATAAACCAAATGCTGATATGAGAGAAATCAATCGAAGTATTATCAAATATCTTGTCGTGAAGTAAGTTATACACATTCTTTATTTGTTTATTATTGTAATATCTATTTTCATTTTAGACATGATTATAATGAACGTGAAATTGAAGAAGCCGTATTACATCGTAAACCTGTAGCAGCACGTGCACTCTATACTCTTATTGAACGTCGTTTAAAAGAAGGCTTAGGATGGCCTGATCGAACCTATACTGATAAAGTCCCAACAAATATAACAACAACAACAACAGTATTGACTACTGATATTGTTACCGATAAACTTGGTCGTGGTGAACCATTATTACCAAGACGACGAAGTATTACACAACAGCAATCTAAATTAACACGTGAAAAGTCAAATTATGCATTTGAAGACAACGTTCTGTTACGTGGTCGTAGTACAAATACACCAAATCTAACACAAGATGCTGCTAATGAACTATTTCGTAATGATGTTGTATCACCAAGTCGTTTAGCAAATAGAAAACTTTATCATGATATAGTTTTACGTAAAAATTCGTCATCACGTGATCGTCTATCGAACGATATTAACAATGATGGTGATCAAGACTTTATTCCTACTCCTTATCTTGGTGATAAATCACCAATGTTCACTACAAAACGTACGCCGACAAACGAATTTTATACTAGAAATAATTTATTACCATTAAGACGAGATATCGGTTTATCATTTAAACAAAGTCAACAACAATTACAAGATTATCATCCATCATCTATAACACCACAACCACAAGGTCAACAACAAAATGGACGAACTATATTACTTAATAATCAACGTACAAAACCTCGTAGTCTGCCTAATAGTACATTGGATCATGCAAATCAAAATGGATTTCATATTCCATCACCTGAAATACGAACTCCAAAAGCTCTTAGTAGAACATCGAATATTGATATTAAAAAACAATTATCACCGGTTAGATATAATCCTGGTAAGATAAAGTTAAATTAACAATAGAATTTTTTCTTAGTTTAAACTTATGATATTTTTAGAAGATAAATGCAGTTAAACCAATGGAAGGTCGTTAAAAAAATCAATGTATGCTTATGTTAATATGTTCAAATTTACCCTCCCTTATTCTGTTGTAAACTTTTAGTTAGTGTTAGATTAGTAAAACTCTTTAAAAATTATTTCATAAAAAAACAAGAAATATATTCATTTGTTCCTCTAAAACATATTTCATACTCATAGGATATATATTGATATGAATTTTAGATTTTTATACATTCTTTGATAAACAAGTTAATTTCGGGAACTAGCTTAAATATTTATTAACCTAATTTTTTCTGATTAATTATCAACGACAGTTAAGGTCAAATTTTATATGTAATTGAATAAATCACCGTAGTGATCTTGAATTTTTATTGTTCTATAAATAAGTAAGTACATGATTTTAGTTTAAAAACATTGATACATTGACATATTGAAAATCTTCTTGTCAATATTATTATTATTATTTCATTCAATTTATCTATAAAGAGTTTTGTTATTTATTATTTTAAAAATTCATGAATATTATTTTTAAAATCATGAAAATAATCATCTTTTTAAATTATTCAAGTAGAAGGGGGATAAAAAGTGTCTAAATATGGAATCTTTTTTCCATAGTAAATGTCTAGAAGACAAATGAAAACAAATCTGAAAAACAGTAAAATATTTTATCGTTGACAAGGATATCCAGAAGCAACATCTTTAATATACTAATGTCATTCGAACAGGTCGCATTGATCAAATAGAAAAATATATGTTTACAAAAATGTTTTTTTGAGTTATTAAGAAAACGTTTGATAGAGTTGAAATGCTTTTTAAATGTGCATACCTATAACATAGAATCTTTGAAGTATTTCTGATCGATATTAAATTCTTTTCAGTCATAATTTTACAATAAAACATGTAAATCTATTAACTTTTTCTAACTTTTTTTGTCGCATATGCGAGTTCAAATCGTTTGGGCGACTATATCATCTCATAGATCATCAATAAATCTATTCTCTTAACCCAATAGAAACTACGTAATAACATCAGTCCTAAACTGCAATCAAACAATTTGATAATATTCGTATTTTCTATCTAATTTAGCTCAATCATTAACGGTAAAACATATTGGATTATTTTTGAAAAATTCTGCATTACACTCTCGTGTCAGTTCGTGTAGTAGTAAATCAAGTAAATCGACGGGCACATCGTTAGTTGATGGTCAATCACCACCATCAAAATATAATCAACCAACACATCAATTTACAACGACAACAACACCATCAAAACCTTCAATTATTAACTATAGTTCACATCAAAACTTATCGAGAAATCTCGGTAAAACTGCGCATACTAAACAACCTGGTGGTCCATCGACAAATACACACATTCAACATTTAATACCACAAAAATTAATGCCAACTTGAAAGTTATTCAGTTTATTTCTGATTTGTGAATAATTTACCCGTCCACATTTGCCAAATAATACACGGTGCTGATAATTTTCTTGCTATACAGCGAATTTGTTTTCTATTCTGTTTGCAAACATTTTTTTATCAAGTTTTTTCATAATAAAATATATCTGTGAATAAATGAGAACATATTGTGCCGAAGTGGCCTTAAAGATTTCATTTTAAGTATAGATGGAAAAGATATTTGTATTCTTATTATTGACATATCATAAAACAAAAAGTTTATTAGATTAATCTTTCATTTTCATAGTAGAAAAGTCATTGTACTCTCGAACTGTCGCCGTTTTGGAGATCTCTTGACAGTATATTTTATTTTTCACATAAATTTCTGTACGATAAATATGTCTGCGTCATGATAAACTTTTTTAGGAACGATTGTTTTTGTAACGCATAGTAAAAATATTATTACTATCTACGTCATTTTTCTGCAGAAAGAGAAGAATTTTTTTTTCTTTATTTTAGACCATAACAAATATAAATTGGAGCAGAAACAATGTAGTTTTTCATGTTTTAGGCAGTTTCTATAAGCATAGATAGCGATAGTCAACGCAATAAAACTGAATTGATCCGTGAATAGTTTTATGTCCATTAAAATCTTTTTTGTTGTTTAGTTTCTAACTTAACTACACGGCAATCATGCTGTGTGAGACTTACTAATGCGGTGCGAAGCGAAACGTTTGCATCACAAGTTTTGCTGCATATTTACAATACAGTAGTGCATATAAAGATTGTACTATAATAATGACTCATTCATAACAGCAATCACATATATATATTGATAATGAAGTGAATAACATTGCATCTGAGATCAGCTATGAAAGCAACATTGCACTATAATGAACATTGCGCGTGTATACTCAAATCAATTATCATTTTGTTGAAAAATTTCCACGTCCTCGATTTTCAATCCATCTACTTTCAAACGCTCCCGAAAAGAGATAAAGCGTAAAAAAGGAACCGACATTCAGCTACAGGACTTTGCACTCACTTTTCAACTTTTGACACAGTACTTCTAATCCTTGAGAAAATTGTTAGCGAAAATGATACAAATTCTAATCGAGGTAAAAAGACGCTGATTGTTACTAGAATGTGGTTATGGTTCGCACTGTATTGAAAAGGCGTTGACAGTATCAACGTCCCTACACGAAAACAATATATTTATATATTGTATTATTGTATACGATATATTTATCGTTCATAGGAAAGGTGTAATATGCCTTCAAGCGATACCCAAAATGCTAAAAGTTAATTTCATGGGCTTATCGACCACTTTATAAACGACTTTTTTCGCAAACTTAGAGACCCCTCTCACAACAAAGCCCATCAAATCAAGAATCAATATCGGCTTTTTGAATCGATATTGGCTTTTTGCGGATGCGTGTTTTTGACTAGGCCTGAAAGTTCATGTTTCGTTCCTTGAACGTGAATGCTAAAGCAATGGTGAACGTGAGCTACTTTTATACGAACGGTGTTCATATTGTCTGAGTTAAATATAAAATTCTGTTCTTGTACTGTAGTAAGAACATATATATTTCTGCTTGGACTTATCTGATCAATAGAAACTCTAGTGAACGATCAGGCAGTCTGGTCAGAGCAGTAACCAGGTTATTGCAATGTAACAGGGATAGTCATTGATTCGTCCAAGAACAGATCATCGATTTTCTGACCAGGAGACTGGTTTTTCCTGCAGCGGAACCGAAGTTCCTTGGTCCAAACCATTTCCATAACTACATACTTTTTCCTTTGTTATAGTACCTCATTTCGGAGCTAATGAGCGTTGATTTTTCACTAAATATAATTGGCAATGGAGAAAGCTGTTTCGCTTGGTATACTACTAGCTGAAATTGCTATATAACGTTTTACAATATTATTCATTTCACACTAGATCAACATCGTTCATATAAGATGAAGTTCAGGACACTCGCGTTCACGTTCAAGCACTAAAACGAAACGCTGAATGTTTGCTGCTCTATTTTTGATCTGCCGTCATAAATTTCAAGAGTTATGTATGCCAGGATAAAATTTAATTCGAAATTTTCCCGCCTACGACAGCATTTAATGGTTAAGATTTTCTGACCGAGTTGGCTTCCTTGAAGATTTAGCATTTCACTATTTCTCACACTCCCTTTCAGCAGCACTTGAGACAATGTTTTTCTGTTACTGCTCACTTTCAGGGTAGATTTCTGATTTAGTTCTTAAAACAGCCCAGGTCATTAGTTACGAGTACTTTCAATGAAATGTTTTTGCCGCCCAGTGAGCTTGTAAAGTCTCTAACGTTGAGCAGCGACATCTTCTATTAACGTTCTATTTTCATTTTATCATGATTAAAACATGATTAAAAACAAAAACTCGCAGCTTTTGCTATCAAAGGATAATAAATTACATTTTTGCTAATTCCAATAAACTTGGTTGAAAACACTCAAGGGTTGAAAATGGTATCTTTTAAACTAATCAAACTTGTTTGAAACACAGTGACGCGTCTTCATGAGAAAGAAAAATGAATATTGAAACTGTTTATTAGCAATACCACACTATATGTCACGGCTGAGTTGATATTAATCAGCTGATTGACAATTTTGATCGCTTACCTGTCTGTCCTTGCACATTGTAGATACTGAGCCGTCTGGCTTATTTCTGATGCCTGTCAATAACTTGTTCTCTTCTTTTCTAGAACGTATTGTTGTATGTGCGTGTCTCCCTCTCGATATTTTTTGTCCATGTTTACGTATGGTGCTATGCATTGTACTGAATTACTGTGATTAGGAAAAACAACAGGAGCAATGCAGTTTAGAAAAATTATGATTTACTATTTTCTTTGTATATTTATTCATTAACACATATATTTTTTTCACTATTGTGGATGTATGTTGTTCAAGTTTTGATTTCTGATCCGTATTATTATTTGCGATATTTTAATTCTTACTTTAATGTTGAGACCAGAGCAAGTAACATTTCATGCTGAAGATTATAATTCGCTACATAATACAGAAGGAGAAGAAAATAATTTATCATCATCATTCGACACACTCGTTCATTATTCAACAGACTTTAAGATGAACAACAATAGAGAACCCCCACAGAAAATGACAAATTCATCAATTAAACAATCGTCATCACTACAAGAATTATCTCTGATTAGCAATATTTATCAGCAAGAAAATGAAGATTTAACTCAAGAAACAAGTATGGGTTTTGTTTTACCTTCTGTCTACAAACTAGCCTCATTTTAGAGATAAGATGTTATCGATATTAAATGAAAATGTATCAAAAATTTTTGTAAAAATTTGCGTCTTTTTTCAGATGTTACATTACCAACGATAGCAAATATTGATTTCTCATCTCCACAGGTTTGTTTTGAACATAATTTCCTCTTTCTTTCATTAATCAAACGCGATTAATTTTTAAGTCTGTCGATAATCTTCTTCAATTAGATGCCCTAGCTCTACAGCAAATTGCTATTGGTAAGAAAAATAATGCTTTTTTTTAGTACAATGAGATTTTATCGAATATTTTGTTCTTTCAGGATCAAATCCTGGTCTTCCAGCTGTAGGTAACAATCAAAAAGAAGAACAACAAGCGCATTTAAAGTCACCGCCAATTCAAACAGCATCATTAGAAGATATACAAAAAGAAGTCGATCGTGTTCGACAAATGAAAGTATGTATTTCATCAAACGACTATTCTATAAAATATGTTCTGAATGATCAGTGTCCTTATAATTTTGTTTATTTTAGTACGGTCGTGTATTTCCATCACCATCTCCAGATAATCATTATTCACCCTCCGCACTATGTTCTCGTGTTACATTTAATCCATTTTCACCTACAACATCCAATATTGATCTTTCTTCGATAACTCAATCGTTTCAATTTTCTGATCGTTCTTCTCATCAACAAATTTCAACACTTCCCTTTACTTCTACATTCATTACAAGTATCCCAGAGTCAACATTAAAAGAATCTGATGAAACTCATTTTATGCCAATTAAACAAACATCTGATAATAAAATTCGTAAATCTCCATCATCTTTATCTCTCATCGAAGATCATGAAGTATTTGATACGTTTATGTTATCACCGAAACCGGTTTTAAAACTACCCGGTGTAGCTGTTCGTACTGTACAACCTTTTAGATTAAGTAAAAATATATCAAATTCAGAATCAGATTTAAGACAACACGATATTCATGTGAATAATTTTGTGGGTGATTCACAATCGGATAGAGATACAACGGTCAGTTCTGGATTAAACGATGATCTATTTATTGCAGAATGGGACAAAGAAAGGAATTTATTTCAAGATTATATCAAGTAAGTATTACTCTATTATCAATAATAAGAAACAATATGTATAAGAGAATCTTCCCAGATGATTAATCTTCATTCTAATGAAACGTAAATTTACAAGGACTACTTTTTATGCTGATCATGAATCTGATCTTCATTTGTACCTATAGGACTTTTGAGAAACGATTTTCGAAAAGCATTTACTTTCTACATTTAGATGCTATCAACTTGTAGAGAACGTTGAGTTATCTATGTAGAAAAATTCTCAGATCTAACGAAAATTGTTTCGTACAAAAAAAAGATTTCTTTTCGTTAAATCTAAGAATTTTTCTACATAGATAACTCACCATTCTCTACAAGTTGATAGCATCTAAATGTAGAAAGTAAATGATCTTCGACGGTCGGTTCTTAAAAGCCCTATGAGCACAAATGAAGATCAGATTCATGATCAGCATCAGAAATAATCCTTGTGAATTTCATTGAAATTGAGGTAAATCATTTGAAAATATTCCCTCGTTAGAGAAAAGAATCTACTTCAAAATCTGTCTAAAACCTTGCTAAATAATATTTTTCTATTTTTTAGTTCGCTACGTACAGAAATTCGCGTATTATTACAAGAACGTGAAGAATATCAGACGAATATTCGTCAATTAAAGGAGAATTTGAGTGATCGTAAAAGATTAATATCAAATACTACTCAAAATACCGAAGTTGAAGTACAACACATATCTGAGATCAACTCACTTGAATCAAAGATAACATTATTGCAAAAAGCTCTTGAAGAAAAAAATGCTGTTTTAGAATTATTACAAACTGAATATGAAATGTTAAAAGAGAAAAATGTTCAATTACAACGGAAAATTTCACTATATAGATCGGATATGAAATCACAAGTGGGAGTCATAGATGAATTGAAACAAAAAATAACAGAATTATGTGTAAATTTACAAAATATGATTATAGTTAAAAAGAGACATGAATTGAGCATAGAACAGTTGGAACAGGAAATTCGACAAGTCGATGAGGAAAAACAAAAATTAACACATCATGTTTCAAGTACATCTAACGAAAAATATGAGTTAGAAAAAAAATTACAACAAGCATATGTTCATATCGCCGAACAAGGTAAGAATAATGTAGTTAATAAAATGAACTTGGACTGATTTGAGCTGAAATATCTCTGTGATAAGTAATCATGTCTCGTATGTTTTTAACTAATAATTTCTATGAACATTGTCGAACTTTTCTCTCTTATCTATCACTATATTTGAATTTATTTATACTTTTAGGTACTCAATTGGAAATATTACGTTCTGAAAATGTTCAAATACGTTCGCAACTAAATGAAACTCAACGTCGTCAATTACAAGAAAAACAGCAAATAATGGATTACTTGAAACAAGTTGAAAGTGATTTAATTGAACGTGAACAGATAAAAGTTAGAGAAAATTTATTAAAACAAGAACTAAAACAAGTGAATGAACTGAGAAATCAAGATCATGCACAATTAAAACAATTGCAAGATCAAATTCAACAAGATAAATTAAAATTAGATAAATATGAAAACGAAAGAGTACAGTTATTAGACACAATTAAAGAAATTGATGACAAAAGGTTAGATTGTAAAAAGAAGAAATCGGACGGAGAAAGTATTTTGAGTGTATTGCACGCACACAACAAAAATACCGATTGATTAATTTCAACAGGAAGAAACCGTGTTACCTACGGAATCGATAGGCAATATTCCCTAAAAAGTCAGTTCATTTTTATTCTTTCCCTCTGTATAATTCGCTGATTTAAGCACTTTTGGGTAGTTTTCGTTTTACTGGTCCAGTTAGCATGTCGATTCGGAGACTGACATTAACGAGATAGAATCATTACTATGCACGTTTCTCTTGTGTTGTAGTATTATAAAAAGAATTGAACAGAGATAAAAAGAAAGCTCTTCTGATTCTCTACAAACTGGTCTATTTGCAATATCCTCACTAGTAAAAGAATAGGATGTTTTTTGTTTTGTTGCTCGAAGGTTTTGAGTGGTATGTGCTGAATTTTGTCACTGAAGCAATATTGAGTATCAAAATAAATGTATTATTCGCAAATCTACGCAAAAATAGAGTCAATCGATGGTATCTCTTATATCTTTTCTTGAACTTCTCATTTTCACTTGAAAAGTAGCGTTTTTTCAGAGGATACAAAAGTCTGTCTTTTAAGTGTCGATCAGATCAGACGTTCCCCAAAAGACATAAGAAGTATCTCAGTCGAAGAAAAAATAGCTAGAACGATCTACGTATCGTAGTTTTCCTTAACCAAACATATTATGTCTCAATTTAACAAGGTTTTGATAAACCAATGAAGGTATTGACTACATGGGTTTGTGGAGAATCAGAAGAGCTTTCTTTTTATCTGTTCAACTCTTTGTATACTACTAAACTGTAGTAGAAAAGTGCGTAGTAATGATCCTATTGGCGTTCGTTAATGTCAGTCTCCGAATTGACATGCTAATTGGACTAGTATGATGAAAACTACTCAAAAGCGCTTAAAATTGAGCATTTGTACTTTTTCGCTTCTTACAGAATCATACAGAGGGAAAGAATAAAAATGGGCTGACTTTTTAGAAAATATGACTTCTTTCGTTTTATCCATTCTAATCTATTCAAATTATGTTTACACAATTTCTTTATTATCATACTTCTTTTTTTTTTAGTTCATCGGATCAACATGACGCAAATCATGAAATCCTTTCATTGAAAGCAAAACTCGTTGATTTGCAAACATCTTGTTCATCGCTAACAGAACAAAATTTACAATTAGTCGCCGATATAAATTTATCTAAAGCAGATTTGAAACATTTTGTAAACCATTTAAAATCACCATTATCTGAAAATGACAAAATTCTTTTGCCATCTGATCCACTCCTGTCTGAGATTTATTATTTAATTGAACATCATGAAAAGAATGAAAAAGAACAAAAGTCAATCATTGATCAACATCAAGCCACTATCCATGAATTACAACAAAATTTATTAAATATGAAAGAACAGAATGAAAAAGATTTTCAACGATTTTTGATACAGTTTAGTTTACAACCGTCCACTTCATCATCGCAGAATAGCCACATAGATCAAATTATATCAGTCTACGATTGGACACTAGAACAAAACCGACAATTAAAACAAATAGTGGACGAAAAAACAAATCAAATTGAACAGATGAATAAAGACATCCATCAGAAAGAGGTAAAAATTTACTCTTCTAAGTATCGTCATTTTGCTCATTGAAATATTTAAAAAAAACATTTTCCAAACTCTGTATTTTGTCTTTTCAGATAAAATTATCAACATCTATCCAGCAACAATCTTCTAATGATTCTTCGACTGACTATCAAATTAAACAACTCGAAAATGAACTGTTAAATATGAAGAAGTTTCTTGAAACTGAACGTCTGCGATATGAATCTGAAATATCAAATACGCAAAATTTATTTCAAAACGAAGGATTACGTTGTGAACAACTTCAGTCAACATTAAATGAACAAAATCATCTTATAGCACAGCAAGAATCAGCTCTTCACGATTTACAACGAAAACTTTATGAAATTGAACAACAAAATGAATCAAATTTTGAAAACTTTTTAATGCGCTTTAATTTACCGCATTCTCAAGCAAAAACATCAAAAAATTATATTGATGATATCATCTCGATCTATGAATCGCAAAATAGATTAACAATTGATAAGTATGAACAAAAACTAAATGAGAAACAAAATTCGATTGATAGACTACAACAAGAAATTGATGAACAAAGAAATTTAATGAAGACAGTGAAGAAAAATGTCCAACAGCAAGAGGTAATATCATTAGAATTAAATCTCTGGGGAGAAAAAGTACTCATCTTTATTTAATATTAATTACCTGATATTGTACACAATATACTTGTAATTGTACTGTACATACAACACAGTTTTTCCGGTTAGTGATTCGTGATTAAATTGTTGAAAAGCTGGTACGTGGTTAGTAAGTGTGTATGAAGCAAAATAACTCTATATCAGACTAGCTTTCTGTCCAGAGCTGCAGTTGATGACTAGTAAGAATAAAGATGACCATGTCCAATTGTAGGAAAGATATCAGGCGATTGAAACTAACACTTATTAGTATCCTACGCTAGTAACGGTAGTCGCACGATGGAGTATTCTTCCTCTTTCTTTCCGCTTGATATTGATATGACACAATCGAGTCAATATTTCAGAAAATTGAGATTTTATCTTATTTACAATACTCGACTCTCGTTTCTTGATCACGTAAAAATTTTACTTTAACCTGTTTTTATTCTTTTAGTCCGTATTATTATCTCCTGCAAAAATTCATAATATTTCTCTCAAACAACAATCTCCTGATCCTTCTGTTATGTCTGGAACAACCGATCTAAATAACTTTCAACATGAACCATTGAGTACAAAAGCGCAATCGAAAACTGAAGACATGCGCATTGAAGAATATCAAACTGAACTGTTTAATTTACAAAATCTTTACAATCACGAACATTTACGATCAGAACAATTTCAAGTTTCATACAATGAACAATATCAACAAAATGTTGAGTATAAATTAGAAAATCAAGAACTTCAACAAAAATTATTTGAAACAGAAACTACTTTAAAACAACTTAAAGATGAAAATGATAGAGACTTTCTTAGATTCTTGGCACATTTCAATTTACAATCGTACATACCATTATCAGCAGAGAAAAATAATCATATTGATGAAATTATATCCATCTGTGAGAGACAAAATCAACAGCTAACATATAACTATCAACACCAACTAAATGAAAAACAAAATTTAAATGATAGATTAGAACAATTAGTGGGTGAAAAAACAAGCCAGATCGAGCTAATGAACAAAAATATTCAACAGCAACAAGAGGTATAAGAATAGTTAGTTGAGATTGTTGAACAAATGAAAGTCTGTCAAATAAAGAAGAAATTGTTTGTACAGTGAGAGTTCAACCTAGTTTCTATTCACGAATGAAGGTCTTCGAATGACAAATCGTTTTTTATATAAAAGACATGGAATGTTGATTCAAAATATGATAATAAAGACTACTTTCAGACCTTTCAAAACCTATTTTTGAAAAATTACATCTCTAAAAGCAAGGCTTTCTATCTTAAAATTAGCCGTTTTGTAGAGCACATTAATAAAAGTGAGAGTAATGGGAAAAATTAAAATAGCAGCTAAAAACGTTCATTTAAATCGCGAAAATGACTGAAAATAAGCTAAAATCTGAACAAATTATTTTCACATGTCTTATTTTTTCTACTTTTATTTGAAATTCATCATTGATTCTACATATCTTGATGCCCTTCAGCTGATTTTCAAATGAAATTTTTTGCAGCGTTTCCGCTATCATATTTATATCACATTTATACTATCATATCATATAAAAATGATTTGTCATATGACTTATATGACAAATCGTGTGAATGTCCTCATATGATATGAGGACATTCACTCGTCATAAATTGATAAATAGCATACCGCATTCATATAGCGAATAAAACTAACCCGCAGAAATATAAACAAATAGCCTACGTTATCATCACTCTTTACTCGTCTGTCAAATTTTCTGTTGATCTGGAACAATCGACAAAAGTCAATAGCTACATTTACAAGCATAACCCTGTTTTTTTCTCTTGTAGTTAATATTGTCATCTCCACGTGTTCACGATGTGTCTGTTCAACAGCAATCTCCTTCGAATCTTGAACAAATTCAAAATGAATTATCAACTACAAAAAGTCTCTTAGAATCCGAGCGTGCTCAATACCATAATGAACTGACAAATATTCAGAATTTGTTACAAACCGAATCTTTACGTACCACACATCAAAATTTGACTATTGAAAATTTGCAACAAAAGTTATTAGAAACACAAACAAATCTGAATAAATTGGATGAGAAAAATGATAGAGATTTTCAACGACTGTACTCAGATTTTAATTTACAATTGTATAAACAAGATGGAGATAAAAACAGTTATATTGATGATGTTATATCAATCCACAATTGGACACTAGAGCAAAATCGACAATTAAAACAACTAGTTGATGAAAAAACAAATCAGATTGAACAGATGATTGTGAATATCCGACAGCAACAGGTAAATAAAACTCCATTCATCATTTGACATACTGTGACTAGCTGTATAAATGGCCGTTTTACTCGTAACGTTCTCTTATAAGATGATTTACAATTATTTTAGCATAGTGAATTTTTTAAGTGAAGAATAGTGTACCATTTTCGGTTTAATGAGTGAGACTACTTTTTGATTAAACTTGTACATTTTTCTTTTAGTTGTCTTCACCATCTCCGCACATTCATACTGTCTCTGTTCAACAACAATCTCCTCCTATAAATCGTAATGGTGAGATTGAGAATGAATTGTTAAATGCAAAAAATTTGCTTGTGGTTGAACGTGAACAATTTCAAACTGATTTATTAAATCTTCAAAATTTATTAGATACTGAACGTTTACGTAGTGATCAGATACAGCAAACTTACAATACGTTATCAAATGCATATTATGAATTAGAACAACAATCAAATAAACCAGAAATAAATGAACTAATTGATTTAAATCCATTTTTTACAATCTTTCAATTTCCATCATTTGATCAACAACCATCAGCATTAAAACGTCTTTTTGATCAAAATAAACAACATCGACTTTCGTTGTCGCTTGTTCAAGATATTCTCACCGTATTTGAATGGTCATGTGAACAATTACAAACGAGAGTAAAAGATATGAACAAAGAAAATGAACAATTGAAAAGTACACTTGAATTACTCGATGAACAACAGCAGCGAAATCGTAAAGAATTTAACTTAAATTTAGAAGGAATGATTAAAGAAAATAAACAATTAAAGAATATTTTTGAAGAAAAAGTTAATGAAATTCAACAATTAAAAGAAGAAGTACAAAAATCAATCATAGTAAGTAGAAGTAGAAGAAGAAAATGTTGAGATGTGTTATTTCAAACTCTAAAAGAGTAAAATTTTGAATACAACCGTTGTTGTAATACATCTGAAAAATCTGAAGATTTCGTAAAATAGATTATTTTGTTTGATACATAGCGCGTAAATTATTTCATGTTTTTTCTCTCTAGGTCAATCAATCTGAACCAGCTATTCAAATCGCACCTCTTCAACAGCAAACTGTTCCATCTGATTTAACAGAATCAGCTAAAAATCTTCAAAATCTTTTAGAAGTTGAACGTTATCAATTTGAACAATATAAAAATGAAAATCAAATTATTGTTGATCAACTTCGTTTAGAATTAGACCGTCGTCAAGTTGAATTAGATTCATTTGAATCAAAATTTAAACTCGAAAAAGAAAAACAAAATATTGTCATTGAACAATTGAGAGAAAAAATTGAAATTGATCGAAAACAAAAACGTACAACATCTCCAACGGCAATAACCGATGACCTTATGACTAACGACTTATCTGCATCTGGAAACGATTTAGAATCAAAATTACATGAACAACATTTATTGACAACAGACGTACAAACCCGACTAATTGAAGCACAAGTATTCATTGAACAATTGAAAGAAGAATTAGCAAAAGCCGAACAACTTGTAAAACAAATTGAATCATGGGAAAATGAAGGTAAATATTTTAGCAAGCATAAACATTCCTAGGAAACAACTAAACACGATCTGAGAATATTTTTTGTGACATTTTTTTAAAGAGAAGAGTATTTTTTGTTTTTTAATTTAGATAGTATTAGTAATGTTCCCGCTGGTGAAAAAATCAATGACTTTTTACAAGCGTGCTGTACAAAGTTGTCGTGTTCGAAAAATTTTGATTCAATATTAAAATCGTTAGAATCTCAAGATCAATTTTTACATGATTGTTGTTCAAAATTAAATATTGAGGATGGAAATAGACGTGAGATAGTTTTGGATAAATTAGATAGTTATAAAAAAATATTTAAATCTGTTGGTTTGAAAGAAGATAACTTTGATATATGGAAACAATCGTATGATGAAAAAATTCAATTTAAACGAAAAACAAAAGAATTTTTAAAGAATTGTCAACAAAAAATATCATCATTATTAACATTTGAACATATATTAGATTATATTGACAAATACAAACAATTACAATCAGATTTTGATGAGAAAGAGGCCACCATTCATCAACTTCAAACTGAAAATTATCAACTATTAACATTTCAAACATCGATAACTGAAAAATTTGGTACATACGATAATTTGTTACAATTACTTACTGAGAATGATTTCTATAAGAATTATGTCAACAAAATACAAAGTGTTCAACAGGAATCCATAGAACAATTGAATAATTTCAATTGTTCTCTAAATTCAGATGCAACAGTCGATATTATACTACAACAATGGTATCAACTCTGTTCAATGTTAAAACAATCCGAAAATAAATTAATTGATTTAAATCAATTTCTTAATGAAAAATGGCAACAAAATATTCCTGTTGATGAGATGAGAACAAATTTAGACAATTTTATAGGTAAAAGACATTGGTATAAGGTTAAGGAAATTCAAAAGTCGATTACTTTTTGTTTTTTCGATTTCTATACATGGTTGGATAGAGCTCGTTGCGCTGAATCCGAATATGTATGATTTGACCGCAAACAAACAGTTTTTGTGATCAAAAACTCCAAAAACCTGCAAAAGTTAAAAGTTCGAAAACCCGTCTAATTTACGAAAAACGGCCTACATTGTCTAAACAACTCGTGCTAGACTTTTGCAAGTTTTTTCCTCTTAATCTACGTAAAAACTGAACCTAAAAATATAGTTGCTGATCATTCAACTATCATTCGGATGGATGATAACTGAGGATTTTTCCGATAACTCGAAAACTACTTGTTTTTGGTGCCAAAAGATTCAAGTCCTTTTTAAAGAGAGATAGAGCCAATATTTAGCCATGGTTATATTCGCTACGCCGTACTGATAAAACTTAAGCATCCATTTTTGAAATTCCTTTGCTGGAAAAGTTCATTTCTTCTAAATCAGAGC